TAGAAATGATAAAGAAATGGAAGAGATGATAATATCAATCATATTAATAATAATAATAATTATATTTATAATACTAGTAATAATTATTTTTTATATTACTTTTAAGACTGGTGAAAGGATAAATGAATGGAGAAGATTACAAAATAATCACAAGCGTAAATAATTATAATAACCATAACGTTAATAATTTTATTATATTTTTTTTAAAATGGTAAAGACATATTGAAGAGACAACAACCATAACGATGGTGGTGGTGGTTTTATTATATTTCTCTTAAAATGGTGAAGAAGACATATTGAAGAAATGAAGATTATAAAATTAATCATATTCATTAGATGTAGAGACTTTTTATTTATAATTCCCCCAAGGAGTTGAAGAGGATGAAGGGATAATCACGACAACAAAATTAATAATAATGATGATTATGATGATGATGATGATGATGATAATAATTAATGGTAGTAATTTTCTTCCAAGATGTTGAAAAGGACGAAGAAGAAATAATAACGAAGATAATATTAATATTAATATTAATAATAATAATGTTAGTGGCGGTGGTTTTTTGTTATATAATTCTTCTTGGATAACAAAATTAATAATATTTATAGTAATCATATTAATATTAATATTAATTTTTATAATAATTTTTATTAGTAGCATCATTAATGTTTTATAATTCATGCTAATTTCTTTAATAAAAAAAATGGTATCTATCATCTTCTCAACAATTTAAATTGTGTGAAATTTGAATGATGAATATTAAAAAAAAAAAGTGTTAAATTTTTTTTTGTCAAAGTAACGTTAAATTCAATTTTTTGCGCAGCATTAATAAATTAAAAATGAATTTTCTTCAGTTAGTACATTTACGAAAAAAAGATTGGGGAATATGAGGAAGAGATTCGTATTCATTAACAAACAAGATGAAGCAAAAAAAGTCAGTTATGTATCATCCATTTTGAAGAAATTTACTCTTAAAGAATTAGGTGTATTCAAGAGACGAGTACGCTTAAACGAACTTGAACAAGTGGAACGCGAAATATTTAAATTGTACATGTGATCACGTCACTTTTGCATCGTCGTCATCGTTGTCGAAAAGTTAAATAATAATTTTATGTAAAAGTGTGTACCCACTTATATCTCCAATAAAAATGTGAAAGATTATGATTATGGTAATTTTGATAAAGAATAATAATCTTTATTTTTGTAAAATTGATAAGTGATATATTAATTATATTATATTTAATTAGAATATATTAACTACAAATAAATCAAACAAATATAGATTAATTAATTAAATCTTGCCAACCCAATATCAAAAATAAAAAACGTGTATGATAAAATACCTTCTTGATCTTCTTCAATTGATAAAATAGAAGAATCTTTATCTAGAACTTGTACAAAATTTGTTGGAACTTTTGCAGCAAAACCTTTAAACAGTGAGTTATAAGTTTGATAAACTTTACCACCATTTTTTTCAATAATATTAATCATTTGATCTATTGTAGCATCTGGTGTATCACGCCTAAATGTTATTATGTAATTTTTCATTCCTGACAAATTTTTAATGAACAGTATTAATATTATCAATAGTGAATGAGTGAGAATATATACATTGATTACATATTTATTAAGGATAAAATAATTACCAAGACCAGTATTAGATAGTTCAACAGGATTATTATCAGCTTTATAAATTACTATAGCAAGAGCTACAAAGATAAATAAGAAAATAAACATAAATCCCCAAAATTTTCTTGAATCTGCCATAATTTTATTTATTTATTTTATTTTTCCTCCCAAGTGCAATGAATGTATGTTTGTATATATTAATTGATTCGATGAGTAAGAAACAAAATTTATTTTTGTACGAAGGATGACGTATAAATAATATCACGTCGTCTGTACTATATACGATTATTATATTTGATTGATTTACATGACTATTACGTCATTGATAAATAATTGACATTATACTCTTTCTATATTTACACAAGTCTTCCTGTATAGCACATGATCACATCAAGATTGCAACTATTTAAAGCTGGATTTACGAGTTTTTAAAACAAAAAAATGAAAATTTTTGTTATTACTCCCTTAATATTAAAAATACAGAAATAGTAATAAATAATAATAAATAATGTGTATCAATGATCGACACATTTGGATCTCATAAATAATTTAAGGTTTTTTTTATAAATATAATATTATATGCATATAGATAGTTTGACTTTAAATTTTTTGTGGTACATGTGCAAATGAAAATTGGCATAATAACGCCACAAAGTAATTTTAGGGATTAAAAATTTAGTAAAACCAGTTATCATCGTGTGTGTGTATCATTCGAAACAAAACAAACAAAATAAAAGCAAAGTTGAATTCAGTAGAGCCATTAAATTCTTATTTTGGGATTGATATACATACCTATCGTGATTATTAAAAAAAAAACAAAAGATGAACGATTATGAAATTATTACATGTTTACATATAAATATTTCGCAAGTTGCACGAAATAGTATCGAAACTAAAAATCAGAAATTTCCAATATCATAAAATTTATCACTTCCCATACTGGTACCCATTCCAAGCATCAATAATATCTTTACAAGAATGTTAATTCATTTTCAGGTATGAATTTAAGATGTCGCTTAGCACAAAATGCTGACAACTATTTCTAGTATTCTTGTATGATTTTGGATTCCATAGTATATTTTAGACTAATAACGGTAAGAAAAGTGAACAAATTAGCCCAGTAATTATTTCCCATAAAAGACTTTTTTTAAAATTAAATATTATGTTAATCAAAGAAAAAGAGAAACAAAAAGTGCGTCAATTCCCTATTATAATAGAGAAAGCTATTATTATGAATCAACAAGTCAATTTGGAAAACAAAGCTCAAGAATTGGGTGTGGAAGTTCAAGCTCATTTAGATTTTATCAAGAGAGTTGGAGAATTGAATAAAGAAGGATCATTTGATTCAATCAGGTGACTATTTGACGCAATTCACCAAGTCTTAGTCCAAACATAATTAGAAATTGAGATTTTAGGGAATTGGATCAAGCCAAACTAATTTCAACAACATGTATAAAAAGAACCAAGAGATAGTCTTTTAAGAAAGTAATGACATTTTAATTATCTTGATTTCTAATTGCAAATAAAATGGCAAATTATTTAAGGCAAGTAAACAATCAAAAGAAGAATAAGTTCCAAATACAAATATCAAGAATTTAGTCAGTAGTCACAAGTTATTTGGGGCATGCTTGCGACAAAGTGAACATTGGTGTTACAAATGAATTCAGGGATCAATAGTGTTTGTTTAACATCACAATTGTATTACAATCATGATATTTGTCTAAAAATAGTTAATATGAAATTAATTTACATCAGATCTACCATGGAACCCAAGAATTATAGTACCATTAGAAGAAGTATTTTGAAGAAAGAACAAGGTGAAAAAATTGCTCCCTATATTTTCAAAATAAATGATACTAGAAGCTTATTTAAGGAAAGAAAATATTATGAAATTTACCAATAAGAAAGAAAAATAATAAAAAGAAAGCATCATGATATGTATTATTACCTAATAAAAAGCAAAAATCTTTAAAAGGAAAATAACTACCATTTTCTTTGATAGTTGGAATGAATTTCAATTTATACAGAATATTCTTTAAACTACTTTCTCATTTTCAATCAAGATCATCTTTTAGTCTCTTTAACTTCAATTTGAGCAACTTGACCATTCTGCTGATCTTTTAATTTCCTGTTTTCCTCTTCTAGTTGTTTAATTCTTTCTTCTAAACTCTTCAGATTTTTCCTGAAACTTGGCTATTCCTCTCTTTCAATTTCTAATGCTTCTTCAGCAGTGGCTAATCCTTCTTGTAATCCATTTATTTGTCTTTCATAAAAAGCAGACTTACTTATTTCCTCACTAGGCAAAAGAGGGAGTTCCTTTTCTTCCATGTCTTCTTCATATCTAATATAAAAACAAACATATTTATCACCATGAACATCAATATAATGTTTAGTTTGTAATCTACTACATCTAAGGCTCTGAACGAATCAATGAAATTTGAACCAATTCAAACCAATTCGAATTTGAATCGAATCGAATCACTTAATTTTTGATTCATTTCATTCAAATTGAATTCAAATTGAATCAAATTGTACTTTGATTTGATTTGATTCAATTAGAACTGATTCAAATATATAATTTGATTCAAACGGATTTGAATTCAGATTGATTCAATTCAATTCAAATATATAATTTGATACAATTCAAAAAATCTTTATTTTAATGTATATTTATAATTTTTTACCTGAAGCAATAATTGCATCTCTTGTTGAAGAAATTGAAGAAGTTGAAGAAGCATCAGTAATATTAGTATTATCTTATTATTTTAGATTTAATGAATTGTACAACTGTAAATTGTTACTTTTTTACTCATTAGGTCACATGACCATTAATATTAATATTAATATCAAGAAATCCATAATTATTAAAAATTCGAATAAATATCATATCAAGAAGAATTTTATTATCATTAAACCATTCTTAGACCTCAATCCATTAGTATTCATTAAATGGAGGCACACTAATTGAGATTCACTGTGTAATATAAATTTAAATTATCAAATTAAAAATATAAATTTAATATGACGTTAAAAAAATTTTAGGAATCCGGTTTGATTCGAATCAATTCGATTCGATTCGTTCGGAGCCTTAATTGTGCCAGATTTGGTGACTTTGTCCCTATAAAAAATTTGGTACGGAAAATATATGGAAAACTGTATGGAATTTTACCTGAAGTTCGCATTTTTCCATACATTTTTGTACGGAAAAGTATAGTAGTTTCGGAATTTAGAATTTTAAAAATCAACTTCTGAAATAATTTGGCAATGCCAAATATTTCGGATATGGCAAACATCCTTATTTGGAACTTTATCTTTCATATATAAGCCTCTTTTCTTTTTTTTCCAATTCATTATTGTCAGTCCAAGTCAATTAAAGTTTTGAACTAATTAGTCTATCGCTACATTTTTTCTCTTGTTCTAAATCTAAATCACATTCCCATCCACTATCCTCATCATTACACCTTCTTGCAGCTCAATTTCTTCCATAAATGTTTGAAAATTGCTTGCCTCAACATCTTTTAATAAATTCAAATCAATTTCAACACCAGAGTTAACTTCTATTTTTGATTTTTTTGAACCAAACTTTCCATCTAATTCTCTTGATTGATTTTTGATTTTTCTTTTTTGTTTTGAAGCTAGAGGCATTTTTAAAGCTCAAATTCAGTCAAATGATGAAAATAAAAATATATAGTTTATTAAGACGCGCGTATTACATAAAAGAATCAGGCATCCCTATTGGACAGACATAAATTTGCCCCTGAAAATCTAGTCCGAAATTTTATATACAAACAATTAATAAAAAATACCCAACTTTGAACTCTAATAACTTTTTAAAAAATCACGTTAATACAGAAAGTAAACTGATAAAATAAAAGAAAATTTCTCATTTTTTCAGTTTATCTGTTTACTTTTTGGCTGTAACACAAATTGAAGGACTAGATGCAGTTAGAAGTTGTTGATGACTCTAAATGATCAGCACCATAGTAAAGAAAATATTATATGGGGCATGCTGCAACAAAACCAGACAAAGTGAACATTGGTATTACCAAAGATTTCAGGGGTCAAATTTTAGT